TTGTTTTGTTTTCATTTGCTTGGAAAATTTTTTGTCATTCCTTTACTTTCATGCTGTGTGAGTCTCTTGTTCTGAGGTGGGTCTCTTGTAGACAGCATATATATGTGTCATGCTTTCTTTTTTTATCCTCACCCGAGGACATTTTTCCATTTTTTTGTACAGATAGAGTGGGAGGGAGAGAGAGGAAGAGAGAGAGAGGGAAACATCGATGTGGAAGGGACACATCGAGTGGCTGCCACCCGCACGACCAACCAGGGCCGGGGACAAACTGCAACCGAGGTACATGCCCTTAGCGGGAACCGAACCCGGGTCTCTCTGGACCGCAGGCGGACGCTCTAACCGCTGAGCCAAACTGGCCAGGGCGTGTCATGCTTTCTTATTCATTCAGCTACTCTGTGTCTTTTGATTGGAGCATTTAATCTATTTACATTTAAGGTTATTATTGATATGTATTTATATATGACCATTTGTATTTATTATGCCTATGTTTCTCTCTATATATTTTCTCTGCTTAGTACAACAGCTCCTTTAAAATTTCTTGCAATGCTGGTTTGGTGGTAATATATTCCTTTAGCTTTTTTTTGTTTTATTTCTTTTTGTCTGGGAAGCTCTTTATTTCACCTTCTATTTTGAATGATAGCCTTGCTGGATAGAGTAGTCTTGGATTCAAACCCTTGTTTCTCAATATCATGAATACTTCCCTTCTGGCCTATAGTGTTTCCATTGAGAAATCAACTGACAGCCTTTTGGAAGCACCTTTGTAGGTAACCTGTTGCTTGTCTTTTGCAGCCTTTAAGATTTGTGTTTAATTTTTGGCATTTTAATTATAATGTGTCTTGGTGTGGGCCTCTTTGGGTTCTTCTTTCTTGGAACTCTCTGTGCTTCCTGATCTTGTGTGTCTTCTTTCTTTACCAAGTTAGGGAAGTTTTCTGCCACTATTTCTTTAAACAGATTCTCTAACCCTTGCTCACTTTCTTATTCTTCTGATACTCCTATGAGGTGGATGTTGTTATGTTTCTTGTTGTCTCACAGCTCTCTTAAACTGTCTTCCTTTTTTCCCATTATTATTATTTTTTTTTCCTACCCTGTCTTCTAATTTGCTGATCCACTCCTTGGCTGCCTCTAATCTGCTGGTTATTCCTTCCAATGTGTTCTTTATTTCTGCTATGTCATTCTTGATTTCTGATTGGTCGTTTTTCATTGTTTCTATATCTTTTCTCATGCTGTTGAGCATGCTTATAATCATTGCTCTGAACTCCATATCTGATAACTTGCTTATGTCCATTTCATTTAGCCTTTCCTCTGGATAATTCTCTTCTTTTATTTGAGACTTATTTCTTTATTTCACCATTTTGGCTGTCTCAGCAGGGTTTGGAGCCTGCCAAAATCTTCCTGTGGATATCAGTTTTCTGCAGATTGTGGCTCTCTCTACTGGGTTTGGATGTGTATGGAAGGGACCAAGCTCTCTACTGGGTTTGGGTGTGTATGGAAGGGACCAAGCTGAATACCAATGTTTGGTCTTACTCTCCTAGGTAGAGTTGCAGGCCAGGGAAAGACTCATATATCCCAGAGATCCAGCTGAGTAATAGTCTCAGTTACTTAATGAGCCTCAGATTGTAGTCCTCAGCTGGATGTAAACTACCCCCACCCTCCCTGAGGGCAGGGTGAGAGGATTTCAAGTGGGTGGGGCAGTTGCTCCCCCCCCCCCCCCCCAGGCTAAAGCTGCTTTGAAAGGAAAGCATTGCTTGAGAAAGATGGTTCTTGCGGTGTGGGTTAATGACTCAGTACAAAGACCTAGGTGCTGTCTTCACAGCTCACTCCCTAGAGCCACAAAAACTAACAACCACAAGCCAGGCCCAAGGGTCAAAGCACCCAGAGTCCTCCTGTCTCTGCCTGCAGACTGGTTGATAGCTTTTGACAGTTAATGAGCCTCAGGTTGTAGTTGTGTGCTAAGTGCAGACTCTTTCCAGCAGGTGGGGTGAAATTCCAATATGTGGAGCAGTTACATCCCCCACCCTCCTGGGCTATAGCTGCTGTGATGGGAAAACTCTGCCTGAGAAAGATGGTTTCTGTGGCATGGGCTAATGGCTTAGCACAATGGTCCAGGCAGCTGCCTTCACAGCTCAGACCCCAGAGCCACAAAACCCAACAACCACAAGCCAGGCCTGAGGGTCAAAGCATCCAGAGACCCATCTCTGCCTGCAGGCTGGTTGATCTGTTTTGTTTCTTTTTTTGTCCTCACCTGAGAACTTTCATTTTTGTTCAGATTGAGTGGGAGGGGGAGAGAGAGAGAGAGTGAGAGTGAGAGAGAGAGAGAGAGAGAGAGAGAGAGAGAGAGACATCAACGTAAAAGGGACACATCGAGTGGTTACCTCCCGCACAACCCAACCAGGGCCAGGGACAAATCGCAAATGAGGTATGTGTCCTTGACCGGAGTTGTACCCGCGACTCCATGGGCCAATGCTCTAACCACTGGCGCTGTTTTGTTTTCTTTTAATGCAGATTTCTAGACCTATTGTTTCAAAATGTTTTAAGAGATGAATCAGGAATAAATTATCCAGAGTCATTATAGCAAATTAAATTTACACATATCCTTGATTACAAACTCCAAACTTCTTAGATAACAGTGAACCCCTGGCAACAACTTTTCAAGGTGTTATAGGTCCAAAGAAAACAGGTGAAATCTGCTTTCCCTTTAATTTTCTTCTGTTGGTCTCCAAATCCAAACCTCTACCTCCTCCTGCCACTGCCCTTCACCATCCAGTCCACAGCTGAACTCAGAACTGAGGAGTATTATCTAAATCACAGCCCCATGTAGTGCAGGTAGTGGAAGTGGAGCACTTCACAAACCGATTTCAACAAATTGAAAAAAGAAAAAGGAACAAAGGGAACCAAGATGATTCCTGAGGCAATCTGTGCCCAATAAAAAATAACAACAATAATAAATAAGGAGTTCAAAGAGTAAAACTAAAGTAGGGACCAGAGGAAATCATCTTTGTTTTTCTTGGCCGACTGTGTGGACCTGATGCTCTTTTGTTCCTTGTACCAAATCCTCGCTGAAAATCCCATGAGTTATTTTAAAACATTTAAAAATTTTCAACCTTTCTTTAGTTTTCTTTGCATTAAACTGGATTGTTTGCTGTCAGAGGAAATAGTTTATGAGATAACTACTCTTTGAAATTTCCTGAGAGTTGCTTTATTTTTGTTAATACTTGTCAATATTTTTAATATGTTATTAATGTTCAGGTGTGACTTAACCAGTTTTTTTCATTTTGTTCTATATATATGGTCAATAGACTAACTTTGATAATTATGTTGTTCATTTTTTACATATTTTAAATTATTATTATTTTTGTTCATTTGTCAATTACTGAGTCAGTTGTATTAAAACATTTCTCGGGGGGCATAGGGAGGAGGGTGTCAATGGAGAAAAAAAGGAGAAACATCTGTAATAAAAAATAAATTAGCAGCCACTCGATGTGTCCCTTTCACATCGATGTTTCTCTCTCTCTATCTCTTCCTCTCTCTCTCCCTCCCACTCTATCTGTACAAAAAATGGAAAAATGTCCTCAGGTGAGGATAAAAAAAAAAAATAAATAAATAAATAAATAAATTAATAAAAAATTTCTCATTATAATTATGGGTTTTCTGTTTCTTCCTGTAGTTTGTCTATTTTTGCTCCAAAATATATCCTGAATTCAACCCCTTCTTCCCAAGTCTACCACCATTCTCTCTTGGATCATTGCTACAGCCTCCTAGCTGGTTTATCAATAATTGCTTATTTATTTATTTAAGTTTCTTTTCTTTCTTTCTTTTTTTAATCCTCACCCAAGGATATTTTTCCATTGCTTTTTAGAGAGTGGAAGGGAGTGAGAGAAACATCGATGTGAGAGAGACATATCAATTGGTTGTCTCCCGCATGACCCCAACTGGGGCAGGGGATAGAATCTGCAACCCAGGTACATGCCCTTAACCTGAATTGAACCCTTAACCCTTTGATCCGTGGGCCGATGCTCTAACCACTGAGAAAACTGGCCAGGGCTATCAGTGATCTTTTAAAAACATAAATTAGATCAATCCCCATATTCAGAACCTTCCAGTGACTTCCTATTATACTTGGAATAAAATCCAAACTCCTTACCAAGACAGTGAGGCCCACCTGCTCTGCCCAGCCCCCTCTCTGCCCTCATCTCCAGTCTGTTCACAACTTCTTCCTCCCTTGTCCACTGGGTTTCAGCCTCACCAGCCTCCTTGTTTTTGTCTGGATAGGTCAAGATCCTTCCTATCACAGGGCTTTGGCTTTTGCCGTTCTACCCCAAGCCTTCACCTGGCTCCCTTCCGTCTTGCGGCCTCCGTTTTCCGGAGCCACCTTTAGAAAGCAGTCACCCCCACCTTACCCTGTTCCCACTGCATTTACCAGCTCCTGGATTTATCTCGTTGTGCTGATGAGCTCTCATCCCCTCTCACTGGAGTGTAAGTTCTCGAGAACCTTCTCTGTCACGCATTGCTGAATTCCCAGGAACAATGCCCAGGGCTTAGGTCCCATCTGTGGACCTCAGTGTTCTCAGGAGGTGGGAGTATGGACCTGAGTGTCCCCCTCTGACATCCACATAGCCCCAGCAGGGTGCCTGGTATATAGCAGGTGGTTGGTCCATAAATTCCTGAATGAATAAATATGTGGCAAATTGTTACTAGTACCGGCAATAGCAGCCTCGTGACAGGTGAGGAGACTGGGGCTCCAGGGTGGTTACCTGCGTAGGGTCCCAGAGCTGGTGAGGGTCAGAGCCACGGTTCCCACCCTAGTGAGCTCCTAACTGGGCTGTTCTCGTTCTGTCCCAACCAAAGGCTGGCTGCTTGGGCAGATGGACAGATGAGGACAGATGGGTGGGTGAACGGATTGATTAGGCAGATTGGAGGGGACGAGCGATCACATGTTCTCTAAGTTCTCTTGCCCCGGGAGGCTGAGTCCATGGCCCAAGCTCTTCTGCTTCCTCCCTCAGCTCTGCAACAACCCCCAAACGCTGGCGAAGAGTGGAAAAGTGTACAGAAACCAAAGAGCTGACCTGCTCTCTGATGTGCCTGAAGAATCAGGACCTATTCAACAAGTTCAGAGGGCGCGTGCGGGCGGCGTCTGGCAGCGCACGGTCCCCCTGGGTGGAGTCCCAGTACCTGGAGTACCTCTTTGAAGGTAGGTCTGTGGGTGGGACCGAGTGGGAGGCGCTCTGGCCCGGAACTTGGCTCGGGCACTGCCCCGCTACGGTCCTTCTGCTTCCCCGAAGCAGAGAGCAGCCCCGCGGGCAGCCGCCAGGGCCACGGCCCGTGCCCTGACTTGATGCAGGAAGGGAGGGCAGTGCCGGGTTGCTGGCAATGCAGCTTGTCCCTCCTGCTGCATTTATTATCTTCTGTCGAGCACCTTGGTCATGAGCTAAAGAGGCACTTTGTATACTTATTTTTATTTTTTTATGTTCAACCTCTCTCTTTGAGAAACAACTTTTTAAATTCTGGTTATAAAAGTAATTTCTGTACACTATAGAAATTTGGGAGGGAAAGAATATAAAAATAGAGAGGAAAACATTTCCCATGCTTCATGCATTCAGAAATCTCCAGTGTTAACACTGAGCCAAGAGAGCACTTTTCCCTCCGATATGTTTTATTTCTAGTCCTTGCAGCAAACCTGTGAGGTTCATTTTCTTCAACCCATTTTTAAAAAAAATAAAGCAAGACTCAGAGAAGTTAAGTAACTTGCCAGGATACACAGCTAGAAAGTGGCAGAGATGGGATATGACTCTGGGTCTTTCTGGTCCTGGGCAAGGTGCTGGACCAGACCCAGAGCGGGGTAGGGTGGTCAGAATGAGGACACATACTCAGACCATAGCCTCGCGGAGCTGAGTTCTGTTGCTTGTTGCCCAGGCTTCTCAAGATACTTGAGGGCAAAATAGAGCTTGAAAGGAGGGGAAGAAGAGGTTGAAGGATAGCAGAGAAGAGAGAACAGATGCCCTGGATGGGAGAATACTGGCTGGGTGGATGGATAAAAGGATGGATGGATAATAGAAGAAAGGAAGCGTGGAGAGGATGGAGAGGGACACAGTGGATGAGTGGGAGGAAGGAGGCCTGGTGGAAGGACAGATGCCTACTAGGAAGGAAGCAGGTGTGGATGGAGAGGTGGAGGGTGGGAAGGATGGGTGGATCAGGGGCTGGAGAGGATAGAGACAAGGCTGGCTGCCTGGGAAGGGCTGGAAGGAAGGGGAGGCAAATGAAGGTAGGAAAATCAAGAAGGAAAGAGATAGAGAAAGGAAAGAAGAATGGATGGATGAGTAGAAAAGTAGGGTGATTGGCATAAAGGATGGATAGGAAGGAAGGAATGTTGGTTGGAAAGGAAGGCTAGGAAGGCAGGAAGGAAGGCTGTCTGGCTGGAAGAATTATGGGTGAACCACTGGAATGGTTGGAAAAATAGGAACGAGATAGAAATGGAGGGGGAAATGCAGAGAGGACATTACTTTTTTAAATTAATGGTTTTGCCTCCTCCTCCCTGATTCCCCCGCAGCACACCCTAAGCCTGAATGACACTTCCTGCCTTTTTCTGACCCTGGTCACGTTCTTTCTTGAGTTTTGGTAGTTTGCATATTTCATTTCCCCCTAATTTCTTTCAACTCCTGCGGGTCAGGATCCATGGAGGCCTCATCTCTCCATTGCCCTCAGTTCCCTGCCCAGAGCTTAATACATAGTCATTGTCCCCTGGACCCTGAGCTGCAGTACTGAGATAGTAAGTCTGTGGCAATGTGTTAGAGGAGCTGTGGAAAGCTAATAGACAAGGGCAGGATTCTGGCAGACCAGCGGTCTGTGAAGGGAACTCAGGTGGAAGGGACAGCACAAACAAAGACAGGTCATTGTGAGCTTGACCTCTCTAAGCCTCAGTTTACCCTTCTTTAAAATGGGACTAGTGAGCTCTCCTCCCAGGGACACTGCAGGACTTAATACAGTGGCTGGGAGGCCCCTGATGCACAGTTGGTGTTTGACAAACACTAGTGCTGGGTGCCCCTTGCCAGGACAGCTCCTCGGGCTGGGCGAGCGGCAGGCTCACCGGGAGGCAGGGCTGGGTGCACGGTGGCCCCAGAGGGTACTGACGAATCCTGTTCTGTTTCTGCCAGTGGAGCCAGCCCCGCCCATCCTGATAGTCACTCATACAGAGGAGATCCTGAAGGTCAATGCCACGTACCAGCTGCCCCCCTGCATGCCTTTATCGAATCTGAAGTATGAGGTGGATTTCTGGAAGGAGGGGATTGAAAACAAGGTGGGAAGCCCCTTTCCTGCCCCCTAGTGGGCCTCCTTCCCCCACTGCTCCACCAAACCCCAGTGCTCCTCACCTTCCCAGCCTACCTGCACACCTCCTCCAGGAAGTCTTCCCCACACACCCCTCACTCTGGACTCTGCAGAGTGTGAATGGCCTGTGGCCCACCCCAGTCCTCCTCCACCTAAGAGGACAAGTACAAGGCATCATGTCGCTGTGCCTTACAGGTGGTAACAGCACAGCAGTTTTCTACATAATTTTATTTTTACTTAATGAAATTTTTCTTTTTTTATAATAAAAATCTGATTGAAATGTGGCGAGCTACCGGAGGCCTGCTCAGTAAGCCACCAGACTCATTATAGAAAAATCAGAAAATACACATAAGCTCTATGGGGAAAACCAAAAGTACCAGAGATGACCACAGATGACTCTTTGGTGTCTGTCCAGTTTCACTGCTTTCTGCGGGTGTATTTCTGTCTGTGTTTATTTATGGTAGGCTGGCAAACGTTTTCCGTTGAGGGCCAGATAGTGAATATCTGTGGCTTTGCAGACCAAATGGTGTGTCGGAACCGTTCCTCTCTGCGTCTGTAACAGAATGAACCGGAGGCAGCCTGGCAGGCGCGGCTCAGCTGGGTGAGCGTCGGCCTGTACGCCGAGGGGTCGCCCGTTCATCCCGGTCAGGGCACGTGCCCAGGCTCCGAGTGTGGTCCAGTTCCCCCGGGAGGCAACCGATTTCTCTCTCACGTTGATGTTTCACTCTCTCTCTCTCTCCCTCCCTCCCTCTCTCTTCCTCTTTCTAAAATTAATAAGAACATTCAAAAAAAAAAAAGAAAGAAAAGAAACCAGAGATAATATGTAAATGCACAGGCAGAGGTGTTTTCCAGCAAAACTGTTTACTGAAAAGCTGGCGGCCAGATTTGCCCACAGGTTGTAGAGTTGACTGAACCAACAGTCACTGTCCTGACCTCCTGCCTCCGCTGGGCCCTGGGTGGTCCGCCTTCATCTGAGTGGCCCAGGCCTTCAGGACCCTTTCAAATGCGCCAGGCCGGCGCTGCCGGGGAGGAACAACGGGGAGGAACAACGCGAGCCACGCGTGTGACTTTAGGGGCTGCTGGTTAAATTAAGTACAGAGAAGCAGGTGGATTTAATTTTTATAATATACTTTATTTTGTCTACTAGACTGTTATCATTTCAACATGTAATTACTATAATACAGTATTGAACTATTTTACATTCTTTTTCACTTGGTCTTTGAAAGCCGGTGTGTATTTCGTACCCGTCAGGTGCTCAGGAACCACGTGCGGCCAGTGGTTACTGTCCTGGACGGGCAGCCCTAGAGTCTTCCATGTCTGTGATGGCTGAATGAGGCCCCCCTCCAAAGAAGTTGACAGGTCCTTATGGTAGGAAGCTTGAGGAATATGCCCCTCAAAGTGAAGCCCAGCAGGCCCTGGCAGGGGGCGGGCAGTGAGCCTGAGTGGCAGGGGTACTTTTTAACCCAGACCATCTCTAGCTGGAAACTCAGCAGGAAGAAACCAGATAGTGCCGCCGACTGCTTCTTTAATGCTCAAACTCGACTGCAGGAAAAGAAGACGCACCAGCTCACAGCGGGTCCTGCCTGCCACCCCACCCATCCTGGCTGTGACGAGCTGGTTCCCACTGCAAGCCAGCTAACCTTTGCTTCTCTCTCCAAACAGACCCGATTCCCAGTCGCTCCCCATGGCCAGCAAGTCCAGATCCCCCTCCAGCGGAATACCAGTGGACACCACTGCGTCAGCGCCAGAACCATCTACACCTTCGGCGACCCTAGATACAGCGAGTTTTCCAAGCCCACCTGCTTCTCCCTGAAGACCCCAGGTGGGTGCAAAGTGGTACAGAATCCAGGACGTCTTTCCTGGGCGTCAGGATCTTCCCAATATGGTAGTTAAGAGCGTGAGTCTAGAGACAGATGCACCTTGATTAAAATCCCGGCTCTGCCACCCCCACTGTGCCTCTTTGGGCAGCCTACATAACCTCTCTGAATCTTGGTCCTACAGGCTGTAGCACGGATTCATTCTGATGAGGATTAAATAGGCCGGGGTAGGTATGTGGAGCCCTCAGGATATATGCAGTTGGAACCATTGTTGTTTCTGTCATTGTCATTGTTTTTCCTTAGGAGTCAACTGGGCATTCCTGGTGCCGCTGTCACTTCTGCCGCCGCTGCTGTTGGTTACTGCCCTGGGGGGTATGATCTGGAAGGGCTTCGCCAGGAACCCCTGGTTTCAGCGGGCAAAGATGCCCCAGGCTCTGGTATGGCAAATCTGGGGTTGTGCATCAGAGGGGGAGGGAATGGGGCTAGACTTGGAGGTAGTGCAGATAGAATATCAAGATGGCCCAAACTGTGAAACATCTCCTTTCTTTGTGTCTAAATTTCCACTATTAGTAATTTGCACCAAATGCAAATACCTGGGGTGGGGGGGCAGAACTGGCTTAAGCCCCCGTTAGTTAAATAGCATCATCTCTGCTAAGGATGTGTCAGATGCCAAGAGCAGAGCCCCCAGCCTCGGTACTCAGAAGAGGTGCCAAAAGGGGAAGACTTAGAAGGGTCCCAACACTTAGTTCATAATCTAACCCGCGTGAGTCTTGCCCAGGCTGACCCTGGGGTTTCCTCACTTGCCTGCTGGCTCACTGCCTTGGAATGCGGAGGCCAGCGGGGGCGGGGAAGCCTGGGAGGTCAGTGGGTCACACTAGTCCCGATGAGGGCCTGGTGAGGGTGGCTGGGCCACAGGTGAGGCTCAGTGGGCACTCAGGCTGGGCGGGGACTTTGAGGGTGGATTTTGAGTGTCCCTGCCACATGGGAGGGAGTATTTTTAAAGTTCCTTCCAGCAGCCAGCACTGCATCTTGGGGACTACTGTCTCTGGCTTCTGGTGTCCACTGTGCCTGTGCATGTGGCAGGCTGCAGGTCAAGGACGTGGCACCGCCTCCGCCCCTCACCTACCGGCGCTCTGAGATGCGGGCGCACCGGCTCCCTGAGTCCCCCGCGGGGTTAGGCTCCAGCTGCCTTAGGAGGAACTGCCTGGTAATTCCTGTCTTCGCGGCAGCTCCCAGCGCCCGTCTGATTTCCTCACTCCCCGGTAGGCCTTCCCTGGGGTCACTTCCCAAAGAAACTCTGTATATTTGCATCCTGTCTCAGGCTGTTTCCAGGGGAACCCCCGTTAGAGCAGCCGAGCTTCAGGAAAGCCTGAATTTCCTGTTCTTGTCTCACTTCCCCAAATCAGGACTTTTCTGGATACAGACACCCCGTGGCAAGCTTTCAGCCCAGTGGCCCAGAGTGCCTGGATGTCTTGACTCTCTGCCCCCAGAAGGAACCGACCAGAAGGGTGAGACTGACCCCTGGTGTCAGGGCCCCAGCCCAGGCAGGACCAGAGAACGACAGTGCTGAGGAGGAAGACACAGATGACCATGTCAGCTTCCAGCCCTACATAGTGGCCCCCTATTTCCTGCAGAGGGAGCACCAGACCCCGGGGCACTACGAGGCAGGGGTCCAGGTCGAAGGCTGTCCTGCTTGGGACTCTTCAGACAGAAGCTGGGCCAGCTCTGCTGGCTCCTCCGTCTTGGATGAGGCCGGGACCTCTGGCTACTTGGCCAAGAGGGCGCCTGGCCGAGGGCTGGAGAGGAACAGGAGTCAGGAGCCTCTCCCACTCCCCGAGTTCTCCGAGGACTTGGGTTCCCTGGAGGAGCTCCAGAGAGCTGACATCTCCTCCTGGGCCAGCTGGGGCTCCTCGTCATCAAGGCTGAATCTCGTTCCTGGGGAGCCTCCAGTTTCTCTTCGGACACTGACCTTCTGCTGGGACTGCAGCACTGAGGAGGAGGAGGACGAGGAGGAGGACGAGGAGGAGGACGAGGAGGAAGAGGATGTGAGGGAATCAGAAATTGAGGACAGCGGTGCTGGCAGCTGGGGGACTGACAGCCTCCAGGGGACCAAAGCCAGGAGTAGGGCACTGGGGCAGTACATGGCCAGGTGAGCTGGCCCCCAGCTTCCTGCCGAATCTGGTGCTACTGAGCTTCCCAAGGCCACTGGACTTGAAAGCCTGGGAGCATCGTCCTGGGGTGGCGGAGTACTCTTCAGCGCTTCCAGAACCCCAGCTAGAGGCTGTTTGTTGGTCAGGTTGAGTGGCAAGAAGCCACCCCGTCCTATGACCCACCAGCTGAGCTCCTAGAGGACTGGAGAAAAGGGCAGGCTGAGGTCAGATCACCCCACTGTTGCTTCGGTGACGGGTCAGGTGCAAAAGTTATCTCTGGGCACTGTGAAGCAGGTGAGGCCGGATCACAGTGGACATCAGGGCTGACCCCACAGGGGCCATCGGGGTTGAGGGAGGACATCTGGAAGCACAGCGGCATCAGAGCCTGCTGCCTCTCTCCAGCACCCTCCTCCCCAAGCCTGGGCCTCCTGATTCATGAGTCCTCTAGGGCGGGCCCCACTGAGGACAAATCTAGTTGGCAGAGGGCGGCCGTCATTCAAATCCCAGTCTCCGGTCGTGGAACGGCACAGGCTTACTATCAGGCAGACCTGGCTTCGAATCCCAGCTCTGCCATTTCCTGGCTGTGTGACCTTGGGTAAGCCGCTTCCCTTCTCTGTTCCTGGGTTTCCTCATCTGCAGCTCCCACCTGGGGAGGGGGAGGGCCCTGAAAGCTGTGTGACACGGTGCTGGCACGTCACTGGTGCTCTTTGTGGTGGCTGCTGGGTCTCCGTGTGCCGGGCTCTGAGGACACCGCTGGGCATCCCCCACCTACAGCCCTTCAGCTCGGGCGCGCGGGAGCATTCCCCACGCAGCCGCCTCATCTCTCATCTACCTCATGTCTTCCTCCCGCTGCCTCCACCTCCTGGTCAGAAAACGGGGTTTTCAGAAGCCAGAACCCAGCCAACGGGGACCTTGGTCCCACTCCCTTTTCTCAGTAAAAAACCGAATGGTCCATCGCCCCAGGGAGGTCTGATTTGTTGGGGTTGGGGTAGCAACCTGGTAGTGAATGGGCCGCCGGGCTGTGATCCGGTTGCAGGCAGCACTTTGACCTTGGATGACTGTTGTTCTAAAGAAGTCCCCTGTTTCCTTCCAGTTAGGAGGACCTCCTGGAAACAGGATGTTACCTGGGGGTGGTGCTGGGGGTCACTTTGTTAACCCACACCCTTCAGTGTATGGATGAGCAGAGCTGAGTTTCCACCCACAGGGACCAAGATTTCGTCAGAAGAAGCTAAAGTGTTGACTTACTGTGTTTGTCCCTAAGGGTGAAGTCCTTGGTCTCTGGCTGGTCCAGCCCTTGCTCCCTTGGCCATGTTAGTACAGTGCTGAAGTCACAGCAAGGATTCCCAAGGGGCACGCAGGGGGCTGGCAGGGGGCCTTCATGGCCGGACTCACACACACGCATACCCGTGCACACGTGTGTGCGTTTCCGCAGGGTGGAAGAATAAACGCCAGCCTTGTTGCTGGGCAAGGCTGTGGCTCAGGGCCGGTTCCCAGGGAGATGCCCAGACCAAGGCTGAAGTTCTCTCTGGAACCATGCAGAGCTGCTTCGTGAAGTTCAGCATCATGCAGTTCTCTTCCGAAAAACTGAAAGCTATCATCACTCTGGTGAAGGAACCACTTTGTCTTTGTTATTAAACCTTGAGGGTTTTTTTAAAGTTTTTCCCCCCCAAAGTTTAATTTCAGAGATAAGCTGAGCTTTTTCGTAATTCTAAATTCCAGCTCCTTTAGAGTCATTAAATCATTAAAAAAACAAACTCGGAAACATTAGGAAAGAGCATGATAACCAGTATAATAACTTGTCAGTGTGGTCAGCACCTGTTTCAAAGCCCTTTCACGTACACAGTCCAGGGCCACGCTTGCGGGACATCAGAATGCCTGATGCCTCGGGTTAAAGCAACAGCATAATTCTTCAGAGCACAGTTGACTCTTAAAGGGGTTGGGGGCGCTGACCAGCCCATCACAGTAGAAAATTCAGATACAACTTTTGAATCCCCCCAAGACTTCAGTTGTAGCTCAGAATCCACAGAGGACTGATTCCAGGAACTGCCCCAGCAGATACCAAAATCCAAGCCCCTTATCATCAGTGGTGTAAAACAGTGCAGTCAGCCCTCTGCATCCATGAATCCCCAGCCACGGATCAAAAATACTGTTTTCCATCCGCATTTGGTTGAATCTTTGATTCAAAACCCGAGGATACAGAGGGCCAAGTGTATTCAGGGGTAGGCAAACGTAGGTTTACAGCGGGAATACAAATAATATAAATAGTAATACAAGAAAAAACTGTTTTGCATACTCAACTGTATTTATTGAAAGAAAAAAGTCTGCGTGTAAATGGACTTGTGCAGTTCAAACCTGTGTTCAAGGGTCAACTGTGCTGATATTATATATTATTATTAGATTTTTGTATTTATTTCTATTTTTCTATGTTTGTGTCAATACCATATTGGAATCATTTCTTTATGCTTGTTACCCTGTTTTCAATAAAGAGCTCTATTTTTAGAGAAAAGGCAGAACTGAATGGAAAAGTGTTGCTCTTATTTCTCAAAGGCTCCTCACCACTGTCCAGCTGGTTAGACCACATGGGTCTCGGGTTGGGTCCCCAGCAGCTGACGCAGAGACCAGGATCTCGGAGAACGAAGCCCAGCAGTCATTCCAGAAAGCACTAATAGAGGTAGTGGGAGGCCAGACAGGGGGAGGGCAGCCAGTCCAGGTGCATAATCAAATAGGCCACTGCCCGGGCAGCTGGGCCCAGTCCCCCTGAGGGGCGTGGGGAGTTCAGTGTTGGGCCCTCCAGGTTTTTCTGCGGGGGGGCAGGAGCCAGGGGGTTTCTTCTGTGCAGATGCTGCTCACTCCCGAAGAGTTGCAGGTACTTGCGGCTGGAATCCATCAAGGTGAGTTGCACGAAAGGTGAATGCCGCGGGGGGAGTGGGGGGGCGGGGATAGGACACCCACATCACCTGCTGCAGTGAGGCCGGAGCTGCGCCCACCGCCCTGGCAGCTCATCCTGTTGCAGCTCTGGTGCATCCACACAGCACATCCTCGGTGGCTGGCCTTGCACACCCTCATTCCAGCCGATCGCTAACGCGCTCTCCCAGCTTCCAGCCATTCTCTCGGGCCACCTGGTGACCGCTCAGCACTGCTCTGCAGGGCGCCACCTTCCACCGGTGCCAGCGCAGGCGCTAGACCCACGCTGAGATGATCCTTCCCCTGCGATGCAGGAGTCTTCCTGGCTGGCTGGGCCTGGAGCAGGCTCCAACCCGCTACTGCCCCCTTTTCCTCTCTGAGAAATGGGAAAATCCAGTGTGTGGAAGAGACCAGAATGAGGCCGCCACACCAGCTGCTGAGACGAGAAACAATAAATCCTGGTTCCGATCCATTCCTGTGGCCTAGCTTCCCTGCGTCCTACTTTTAAACCATCTCCCGGGACCTTCTATTACTTAAACCAAATATCCTTGCCAATTCTCTCTCTTTTTTTTTTAAATTAAAAAAAGGTGTCTTTTTCTTTATTGATTTTAGAAAGAGAAGGGGAGCAAGAGATAGAAACATTGATGAGAGAGAACATCGACTGGCCGCCTCCTGCATGCCCCCCATCAGGGGTTTGGCCCACAACCTGGACATGTGCCCTGACCGGGAACTGAACCAGCGGCCTCTTGGTGCATGGGTCGACGCTCAACCACTGACCCACATTGGCCGGGCTCTCTTTGCCAATTCTCATTATGCACATATCACAGCTTGTGGTCAGTTTGGGGCATCTGCCTCCTTGAATGGTTGTGCGCTAGATCCTTGTCAGAAAACAGGACAGACCTTCCTCTTCAGGTGATCCCCAGTGCCTCCCACCCTGCCCTCCAGTGCCAGGTCGCCTTGTGAGCTTCTCTTGGCTCCTGTGTGGCCGGCTTCCCAGTGGTGGGGCGCAGGGCTGCGGGCAGCACAGCGTCTCACGAGAACAACGGCCCGGGGCCGCTGGGAGGGGGGGTTGGGGAGATGGATGCCACATTCCAAGAACTCCTCTGAGGAAGGGGCAGTTTTGCTCCTGGCACCAGGTGGAAGCTTGGTATTGAGTAAATGAAGGAAGGAAGGCACATGTGAACTGATGAACAAATTGGAGTCAGCAAGGAGCTGGCCCGTGGCTGACTTACATTTTTATATGAATAACTGGAATTACGAGAAGGCCAGAGACCTTGAATTAGATGATACCATCCCAGGTCCCAAATTCCTGTCGCATGTGGATGACTGTTCTTCCTCGACCCAGCACCTGGTCCGGGGTGAGGGGAAAATGGCGAGAGGGAGGGGCAAAAGCGGGGGACACAATGGCATCGAACCCCCTGATGAACTCTGTTTCCTGTGTGATTTTGCACTTGGTCAGTGGCTGCTTGCTTACATCTTCCTTGAGCTCATTCCTATGTGCATAAGGTGATAAAAGGTAGAAAAAATAAATAAAATAAACAGGCCAGAAGTTACGTCTGTATCTAAATGAGTGAGTCAGTCCCATGAGTCACTTACTCAAGAGATACTGGTCGGCGCTGGGACACGTTCCAGCCCCGGGAGCCTCGCCCCTTGGCATGTGATGATACAGGATACAGAGGTGACAGGTCTCTATTACTTGTCAAGTCTTTCTCCCCTTACTGCCTCTCTGAGTGGGTTGGGAGAAGGTGGGGATCCCGAGGTAGGGATGCCTCAGCTCACACTCTCCTAGTGGGAAAAACCATCAGTAGGTGGTGGGAGGGCCCCTCCAAGGGTGCACACCTCCAGGGTGAGTCTCATCGGGTCTTGCATGATGGCCCCCCCATCCACTCTAAGCCTCAGTTTCTCTGGGCACTAAGTGAACCGTCTTGGAAGCCAGATTCCAACAGGGGCTCAGAATTCTGTCCCACACCCGTCTCTGAGCCTTCATGGAAGGCCCCTCCTCTACACACCCCTATTCAGCCCCGATGCCCAAATTGTGGGGTGCAAAGCCTGCACTCCTCCAGCGCTGGAGTTTGGCCTCAGATGCGAATGTCGACTTGAACGTCCAAGGGAACGTTTGCCACTGTCCTCATTGTCCCCTCCCACCGTCCTCACCCCTACACACCCAGGAGTCTGGGTTTTTGCAACATTTTCAAGGAACCTCTCTTGGTCCTTGGTTCCTCCTGTTGTAACAGGGGAGACTCATACAGGAAGTCTCTTCCTCAGAAACTGGAGACATCGGCTGGTGTAACCCTCCCAGCAACTTGAGGAGCAGAGACTCTTACTTCCCTTTCGGATGAGAAAGCCGAGGGTGAGCGACGACGCGACCTACACACTGCGGGGCTGGGACTCAAAGCTGCGTCCGTCTGCCCAAAGCCCTAGTGTGCTCACTTCCAGGTTCCCAGGGGCCGTACCGAACTGCTCCCCTAATCCTGGCATGAGCCGCAGGGGGTTCTCAATGCGTTTATAAAGAAGCATGGCCCTGTAAGCAGGTGATAAGCTTCCAGAACTCCTCGGCCTGAGAGAGAGCTGAAATTATCAGCAGAGTCAATAACTGCTGAGCTGAATGTGTGTCTGTGTCACCGACAACGGCCATGAAGGGAATTCCAGGGTGTCGGGAGATTTTCCACCCCAAAGTGACATAGAAGCAGAGGCCATTCAAGTTCCAAGGGCCCTTAGAGGACTTCTAGACCAAGCCCCCTTTACAGACAGAGAAACTGAGGCCCAGAGCCCAGGTTCGGAGACTCCAAAGTGAGTGATTCTCAGGCTTTTCTCTGGGAAGAGGCTCGAGCACGTGGCCAAAGCTTCATTCCTTGCTCTTCCCATCGGTGAACGATCAGCCACTCGCTTCAGGGTCTCACTGCTCTGCCACCACCCACAGAGACGGCAAGTCACTCACCCTCTTCCAAAGCACACCCACTGTCTTTATTACATTTTATTTAATTTTTTTCTTTATTGATTTTAGAGAGAGAGGAAGGGAGAGAGAGATGAGAGAGAACATCGATTGGCCGCTTCCTGCATGCCCCTCACTGGGGATCAGACCCACAACCTGGGCATGTGCCCCGACCGGGAATCGAACTGGCGACCTCTTGGTGCTTGGCACCACTCAGCCACTGAGCCACATGGGCCGAGCCCCATTGTCTTTTGATGTTCTTGCTTCTGCAGAACAGGTTCTGCAGTCCTTTCGTATTGAAAGAAGGGACAGAAGCAGGTCACATTCCTGAGTATTTGTTATGTTAAAATATGCTTTTTCTACAGCTTAGGGATGTTCCACAGCCAATATTGAAGCCCTGGCCAGCTCACCTCAGCTCACTCATTCAGTCAACAAATATTACCAGGGACCTGCCCTGTGCCAGCTCGTAGTGGATGCTGAGATGTCAAGAAAAGCAAGTTAAATGCTTGGTGCAATACAAATGAGGGAGGGACAGGGGACCGTGGGAGCACAGAGCTGGGGCTCCCAACCCCCCCTTCCCCCCCCCATGAGCGGCTCACACAGGCAAGGCTCCCTGGAGGAGGTGAATTTGAGAACATTTCTGAAGAAGGAATAAGAATCAGACAGCAGAGGGGGTGGAAGACTATTCTGGGCAGCGGGGGCAGCTTGGGCAAAGGCCCAGAGGGAAGACAATGCAATGTGCATTGGAGACATTTATCGGAGAGAAAACAAGGGCACGTTCCTGGCAGTGCCCGCCCGAGAATCAGCAGGCGCGTCTGCTGATGTAAAGGTCAGTTCCATAAGGCAACGCTCTACCGTTGCTCTGTGTTCAGCCACGTGGAGGGAACAGAGAAATACAAGCTGTGCTCTTTGCACTCAGAACGTTTTCTCTCATTGAGGAGACAAGAACCATTGGACTTTAGAGACCAGAGAATAAAGTTATCTAGGGACCATCTACCAGGGATCACAGCCTCTCACTGAATACCCCAGCGACCAAGAGCAGCCCATCTGCAAGTCGGCCGAGTCGTCGTAACAAGAGCAATTTTCCTTAAATCCAAAGCAGTTTGCCTGTTTAATTTGTCCCCTCACAGTGCCCTGGTTTTCCTGTGTGGAGGTAGTTGCCCTTCTCCATGAAACAGCCCCTCTGGTATTTGAAGAAGGTCCTCCTGCCTGACCTTCGTCGACTTGAGTCTCTCCTTTCCACTCTGAAACAGGAGCACGACTGAAGAACGCGATTGGAAAATGCCAAAGGTGCGCGGACCAGAGCTCTGCAAGGCTTTTGCAAGTGAGCGTGTGGTGGGCTGGAGCTGTCCCAGCATCCTGCAGCAGGAGGAACCATCCCGGGGACTTTGAAGATGAGGGCATGTGGCTAAGGGGAAGGAAATGGCAACCTGGGGGCAGGGTGCAGCCCAGACAAAGGCACTTCTTTTTTTTTTTAATTACAGTTTACATTCAATATTATTTTGTACTAGTAACACTTCGAACAGCACTTGCTTAATGCCTGTTTGCTCTGTTCACGAACCTTGCTTTTCCTAAGGCAAAATATTTCCTCAAAAAACTTTAGAAAATGCAAACGAGCAAAGGAGAAACATTTTTACAAACCACCTGTAATGCTGCTATCACCCAGACGTAACTCCGTTAATATTTTCCCATTAGATCTTTCAAGACTTTTCTCTCCGTGTGTCTGTGTGTTTTAACCAGGCTTGTGCTACGCCTAATCTATGCTGCCCTTCTTTTCACCGACAAAACGTAGTGAATCTTGACCAGGCCACGGGCCATTTTTCTCCAGCATTATTTTGAAGGTTGCATTGGGTGGACATACTGTTATTCATTTAACCAAACCCCTATTGGTGGACATGGAGACTGTTTTGGTTTTTTACTACTCGAAATGAAGTCTGAGTGTTCCCAAGTTCTTTAACAGTTCAGGTGCCGGGCTTCCCAAGAATTCCTATATAACTATAGTCCCTCAGAACAACAGGAAGTCTAGCTCTTCCATCAAGTCCCTCCCTCCAGATGCTTCTAAGTGTCCCCAAGCACGGTTTCACGGTCCACAGAGTTCCCTCTCCGCAAGGCAGCCAGGATGGCTTCGGCGACTGCTCCTGTCCTTGGGTGACCTGTTTCTCGGGCCATGGTCTCCCCACACCACCTTGTCCCTGGAGTCATCGAGGCCCTGCATCCATCATGGCCCATCCAGGAGCACAGAAAGCTCTCAGGTCTCTCAAACCAAGGGACTTTAATACAGGGGAGCTGGTTACCCAGTTGATGGAGGAGCTGATAATCCAAGCAGGAAACTGCTCCACCCTTTGAGCTAAAGGGAAAAATTGGGGGCAAGGGGGTAGAGAGATGTTGTTACCAGGGGCTGGCCACCTGACAGAAAGATGTTGGTGGCTGCCTGGCCAGAGGGGGCTGGAGCTCCAGAGGACACACGACCATTGCTGGGGACGCCACTGAAAGCAAAGAAAGGGGAAGAAACACCCTGACTTCTCTCCTCCAGAACTCCCCTTGTTCTCCTGTGCCTCCCACTGGTCAAACCTATCAGGACGCGGTTGACAGAGGAGTCTGGGGAATGTAGTTGCCCGTGATTGCGGGGCATGACTGGCACAAGCCAACCCTTAATTCTCCCAAAGCACAGCTCAAATGTGGCTGTTTTGTCAAACAAACTTTACCAAAGACTGAGGGCTGATAGAAAACAATTACAACACAGAAAAGAAAAACTTAAATACAGATTCCTGGTCATCACAGCCTACTACCTCGGAAAGGCAAACCTTCTACAGGCCCAGCTGTCCCGTGACTGGCCTCCGCCTGCTGAGCTTCCCTGGGGTCAGCCGGACTCTCCCCAGGGGCAGAGAGCCATGGTCACGTCCACCCTACCCAGAGTCCAGGCCCTTCGATTTTCCTTGTGGTTCAGGGAGAAGGAGAAACTATTTCCTAAATTACTGAGGAAATATTTCCTAAACACCCATCCCAAAGACTTCACATTAATCCCTATGGATACACCTCTTGGTAGAATGATAGCTTGGGTGAGCAGTTTGAATCTTCATTGTCTCAAACTAAAGGCCTATTCATGAATTTTGCCCCCACTTTTAGCACAATAGAGTCACTGAAATTGGAGATCCATTTCCCCCCTAAGCTTTAGCAGATCCCAGACCCCAAAGGCTCAAGGTAAGAGTGCCTGGGCTCCTCACCCCAGCAGCCTCTCTAGGAGGGAGACTATCTGCACCCCATCACGCAGCACGGGACCTGCTTTGATATGGGGCACAGGAAGGGCGGCAGACATCCTAAACCTCCTCCTGCCACAGCACAGCCAAGGGTCATAGCTTTTCCTTTGGCACAAGGAACATTCTGGAATATATTTTCTGCTCCCTGGTCCAGTTATTTTCCTCAGGGTAAATCCCTGCTAATGGAGTTACTGGGGCAAAAGGTACACACGTGTTTCAGGCTTCTAATACATGCATGTTTCAGGTTTCTGATAGACGCATGTTTCAGGCTTCTGATACACACGTGTTCCAGGCTTGATACACATGTGTTCCAGGCTTCTGATACACACGTGTTCCAGGCTTGATACACAGTGCCAAATCACTCTGATAAGGCTGTATGTCCAGGATTTGTTTTGCCTTTTCTGCCTCTCAGCTCCCTGATAACCACTGAAGAGTCTTGGGATGAATCAGCCACCAGACCAGATGAACAGGCTGGCTTGTCACCATTGCTATTTTCTGCATCTAGGAAAGGAACTCCCTTGGATCCCACCCAGGACCTGGAATTTCGAAGCACCCACACCAGGCACCTTTGTACCCGCTCCCCACTGCTCGGGTTCCACCCTTCGCTGCTTTCCCCGCCCCGAGCCCGGGCGGAGCCAGCTGCCAAGGCGCCAAAGCTTCCCAGCCTCTGCTCAGTGCTCAGCCCAGAGTGGAGGCCAAGAGAGGGCTGTGTGCCCAGCCCAATGAGGACGCTACTGACCATCCTGGCTGCGGGATCCCTGGTCGGTGAGTGCCCATCACCCTGTGGCCCCCAGCTACCCCAGAGCCAGTGACCAGGGTCATCTTCCTGCACCCTTCCTGGCCCAGGACAACCAGTTTCAGTTTCTTCCCCGCTGGGGCCAAGCTGTGCTGGGACCAACCCCAGCCTCCCTGCACACCCGAGGGGGCCTCTTCCAGCCCTTCTTCTAGATCGGAAAGAGCATTTTCTCCCCCAGGGGCCAGGTCTGCCGCATTATAGGCCCTAAAGCACCTGGGCCCTTTCAAAACAGGGCGAAAGGTCATAGTTCTCAAATTCAATTAGGTGGATTTTTTTTTATTCTCACCCAAGGATATGTTTTTATTGATTTTAGAGAGAGAGGAAGAGAGAGGGAGTGGGGGAGAGAAATAAGATACATCAATATGAGAGAAACATTGATCGATTGCCTCCTGTACCTCCTCGACCGGGAATCAAACCCACAACCTAGGAAAGTGCCCTGACTGGGAATTGAATCCGCAACCTTTTTGGTGCACGGGACGGTGCTCCAACCAACTGAGCCACCCAGCTGGGGCTGGTGGGTGTTCTGATTCTTCATGGAGAACTTTCAGGCAGGTGCGTGAGATCCTAGATTGTGTCTGTTCTCTGAGAAGTTTAATAAAACTCAGGGAACTTTCTCAAGAAGTAAGAGCATAGTCCTTACGGAAGAGGGGGGGGGGGTGGTCTGTACAAGGCCTTGTAATTCAAGTGCAGGATGAGCCCACGGAGGGCCAGAGCTGCACCGGCCAGCGCTGACTGGTCCACAGTGTTTCCAGCTGCTGCTCAGGCCCCTCCAGTCTCTTCTCCCCTGGCATCACCTGGGCCCAACACTGGGCCTTTTATTAGCGGAAGATATGCATCCCCAAGAGACACCAAGACGTGTTCCTTTGGACTCCCATGCATTCTGGCCGGGATCATGGATGCTCCTGGCCCTTTAAGACAGGGGACCCGGGGAAACAGTCCCTAGAAGATGCTTGAGTTGGTACGGTCACTCAGAGGACCCAGATTCCCTCACTCCAGCTTTCGTAGGCTGGTTCCAGGGCATGTTGAATTGTTTTTGTTTGTTTGCTTTTCCTCAATTTCCTATCTGGTTGACATAAAATTGTTTGTTTTTTCATAAAACTGTGAGAACTTCCTTTTATACAGTCTGCCAGCCTGTCAGTCTCCACAACACGTTTTTCCAGGATTTCACAATGTAGACTTTCATCCGGGAAGTGGAGGAATGACACAGGCTGAGGGACGGGTGATGGATCTGAGGAGGAAAAGGAGTGGGGTGGGAGGAGGGGGGAGCACTTGTTAGCCCTTGAAACCTCCTAAAAGAGGGGGCCCAGTCAGGTTCCACCCACCCCATTTCAGGGAGCCAACTTCAGTTCCCTCCTGAACAGTGGTGTCAAACTCCACCCAACCAGGGCCATTGCCTCCTGAGCACGTCCCAGCCTCAGCCACCTGTCTCTCCTCAACCCACATAGCTCACAGGACGCTGACCCCAGGGAGCAATCTTCCCTCTGCAGACCCTAGCCCTTCACCAGGGCAGGCTAAGCCCACCCCCAGACAGACCCTGGCCTTCTCTCAAATCCCAACCTCTCTCCAGCCCCTGACCTTACCACCCCACCAGAAGCTACCATTCAGTTCTGACCTCAAGTAGAGCCTTTGCCTTCCTAAGAAGGCACATAGTGGATGGGCAGGGATTGGTTTGGCCAACAGAGAGGTAGAATTTACAAACATCTTCATCCTGGATTGAAATGACTGATTTAGGCATCTTAGTTGACTATCTCTAAAATGTGAATGAGGACACCAGCTTCAGATGGTGTTAAGAAATCAATGAGAGACAATAACAGGTGTTGGCAAGGGTGTAAAATAATTGGACCACTTAAACATTGCTGGTGGGAACATAAGCTGATGCAGCCACTTTGGAAAACAGGTTGGCAGTTCTTCAAAAACTTAAATATAGAGTTACCATATGACCCAGCTATTCCACTTCTAGCTGTACAACCAAGAGAACCGAAAACATATGCCAACTTGAAAATGTGTATACAAATGTTCACACCAGCATTATTTACAATAACCAAAAAGCGGAAACAACACAAAAACCCATCAACTGATGAATGGATAAATGAAATGTGGTATATCCATACAATGGCATGTTATTCAGCCATGAAAAGGAAATGAGTACTGATTCATCCTAAAGTATGGATGAACCTTGAGACATTATGCTAAGTGAAAGAAGCTAGATGCAAAGGCCATGTACTATATAACTCTATTTGTTTTTAAATATTTTTTTCTTTATTGATTTTAAAGAGAGAGGAAAGGAAAGGGAGAGAGAGACAGAAACATCCATGAGAGAGAACATTGATTGGCTGCCTCCTGCATGGCCCCCATTGGGGATCAGGCCCACAACCTGGGCATGTGCCCTGACCAGGTATCAAACCAGTGACCTCTTGGTGCATGGGTCAACACTCAACCAGTGAGCCACAGGAGCTGGGCATATATGAAAAGTCCAAATAAGCAAATCCATCGAGACAGAAAGGGGATTAGTGGTAGCCTAGAGCTGTGGAGGAGAGGAACAGAGAGTAGACTGATAATGGACACAGGGTTTCTTTTTGGGGTGATGAAAATGTTCTGACTTAAGATAGTGGGAATGGTCGCACAACTTTGTGAATATACTAAAAAATCCACTGAATCGTACGCTTTAAATGGTGACTCCTATGGAACGCGAATTCTAGCTCAATAAACAGGAAACTAAGAAGGGAAGCAGTGACGGTCAGCGAGCAGTCTCCAGGGGCTGCTTCTCACTCCCCGTCCTCGGACAGTTTGTGCTGGGGGGGGCGGGGGGGGGGACGAGCCCGTCCGCTCACCTTGCTCCCATTTCCCGCAGCTCACATTGCTGAGGACACCTCGGATCTTCTTCAGCATGTGAAATTCCAGTCCAGCAACTTTGAGAACATCCTGACTTGGGACAGCGGGCTGGAGAGTGTCTACAGTGTCGAGTATAAGACGTAGGCTTCCCTTCCAACACGACCTCTTCTGACTCTGCTCTGAAACCAACCCCTCCAAGGAAATGCCCCACCTTTGTGAGCCCCACGCCCCCCACCCTGACTGGTGTTATGCCCCTCAGGATAGCTCTGCTCCTTTGTTTCTTTTGCAGAGGGGGATGAAATAATGATTGAAAGTATGGGTTCTGGTCTGAACGCCAGCTGCAATTGGGTAACCACTCCAAACCTCAGTTTCCCCATCCATGAAGTAAGAAGAGTGATAGTATCTTCACCATAAGGTTGTTAGGTGGATTAAATAAGATAGTCATTGGCACTGGTGCCTAGCAAATAATTGTTTTATCATTACTGATGAGACTAGGTCAACACAAAGGTGTGCTCACCCGTCCAGCCCATGCCCCCATTCCCAGGCAGGGAAGGAGGGTTGGCATGGGCTCAGGAAGCTGCAAACCTGAGTTTCACTCCTGGTCCTGCCACTTCATCCTGTGGCAAGTCACGTCCCCTCCCTGAGCCTCACCTCTAGAGGGGGGATACCACGGCCTGCCTCAAAGGGTTCTGGTGACAATGAGCGCAGCTTGTGGATCCAGCTGGCTGGGTTTAAACCCTGGCTCCCCCCAGGCATGCTTCAAACACCTGGGCATATTTACTTCCAAGCCTCAGCTTCCTTATTTGAAAAGGAGAGAGAATAATGTACAAACCTCACAGGATCAATGTGAGGACGAACAAATTATCCACATAAAAGGCCTGGAACACAGAACATGCTAAGTAAATATTAGATATCGTTATCATTATTAATAAACCACAGGCCTGACACCAGGCCTATCCGTTCGAGGTGTGCTCCAGCCCCTCCCTTGCCTGCAGGTACGGAGACACAGAGTGGAAGGCAAAGAAGGGCTGCCAGCGGATCACCCGGAAATTCTGCAACCTGACCCTGGAGACGAACAGCCTCTGGGAGCCCTACTATGCCAGGGTAAACGCCACCAGCGAGGGGGGCCGGTCAGCCACCAAGATGACCGACCGGTTCAGCTTACCGCAGGACAGTGAGTAAGGAGGAGAATGGCCCAGAGGGCTCTGCCTTCAGGGGTGGGTGCTGTTAGGGGTGTGGCTTTTAGGAAAGGCATCCTGATAGAGAGCACCCCCAGTGTGGTTGTTCATCCTCACCTCCATCCCACAGACCACCTTCGTCCCCTCTTGACTACCACCAAGCTCTGAACGTGGTCCCCCACCTACTGCTTTGACTCCTTTCCAATGCTGAGTCTGGTCTCTGCTTCAACATCACCTCCTAAGTGAGCGTCCCCACTACCAGTCCCCACCAGATTTTACCAGGTCACCACCTGGCATTTTTTGTCACAACTCACTGTTCATGGTCTTCATAGCTCATATCTCAATCTGTGATTCTTGTGTTTGCTTACCTGTATATCACTGGCCTCCCCCACTGACACGCAAGCTCCGTGGGGGTGTGGGTGGGTGTGGAATCCACTGTATTCCCAGCCCTTAGCACAGTGCCTGCACTTAGGAGATGCTCAGTGCACAGTTGATGAAGAAGGAAGGAAGGGAGGGAGGAATAAGCGAAGGAACAAGTGAATGAAGGAAGGAATATGCGTTGCCAAACTCTCCACACAAGTTAAGGCGGTGATGATGTTCACTGACTCAACGACCATGTTTGTTTGTTTTTTAATAAAATAAAAACTTAAAATAAACAAGCTATTTTATTTTTTCCTTGTCTTGTTCAATGAATGCATGTTTACTGTAGAAATGTTGGAAAATATAAAAATACACGAAGAACAATAAAAGCCCCAAGCAATCTGAACACTTAAACATAACTGCAGTTGCTAGCAACTGTATCTGCTCCTTTGTAGTCTGGCTGTTTGCTTTTCATATAGTGGTATCATGAACGTGTATTTGCTCATGCTCATTAAATATTTTTCCATAACACGATATTTCACTGCTAAAAGCGATCCATTCTATAGAGGTACTCTAATTTACTTCCCTAAGTCACTTTTGAAGACATTTAACTCAGTTTTTCCACTTTATAAATAACACTGACATTCTTTTTTTTATTAATTTTTCTGTATTGATTTTTTTTTTTTTTTTAGAGAGAGAGAGGAAGGGAGAGGGTGAGAGAGACAGAAACATCAATGAGTGAGAACATCAACTGGCCTCCTGCATGCCCCCCACTGGAGATCAGGCCCACAACCCGGGCATGTGTTCTGACCAGGAATCAAACCAGCAACCTCTTGGTGCACGGGTCGACGCTCAATCATTGAGCCACAGCAGCTGGGCTGAAGTAAACATTCTTTTGGCTCAGATGTTTTTAATCTTGGAGGTCAATGGACCCTTGAAGATTTTTATAAATTAGCTTCAGGCGGAATGGGGTCCACGAATCCCTGAAATTGAGGGCAAGGTTTTTGTATATGTACATTTGGAGAAGAGAAAAGCCGTAGCATTCATCCAGTTCCCAAAGGAACCTGTAAACCAGTAAAGGTCATTTGGTTACTTAGAAAGTTCCATTTGGAGAAAGACTAAACTCTTAGGCCTGGCCACTGAGGCTGAATCAATAATATTGGGCACCCCAAACATTATTTAGGATATGTTGTTGAACCTACATCAGTCCCCAAAGCTGTCGTTGCCAGTGGGCTAGGGAGAAGGGTCTCCTGGCAGACTCAAGGGGTGGTGGTGGTGGTGAAGGACCCAGGATATGTGGGGGCTGGGCCAAGAGCATGATCAAACACCTAGGGGGCTAGTATCCCTCCCCCTGAGGTCTGCCTACTCACTCTTGGCCATCCCTTTGCCAGCCTTACACCCTTGTTTAGCTGATGCTCTCAGAAGCATAGCTGGGGCTGGGGTGGGGGGAGCGAGAAGCAGTCATTTCCCATGGCCCAGGGCAGCCTCACACGCTACTGGCTGATTCCAACTTTATTTTTCTTTTTTCTTACTCCCTTTTTTTTTAGCTACCATCAAACCACCTGATGTGACCTGTATCCCCAAGGTGAGATCCATCCAGATGATTGTCCATCCTACCTCCATACCCCTCCACGCAGAGGATGGCCACCAGCAAACCCTGAAAGACATCTTCCATGACCTCTCCTACCGCTTAGAACTCCATGTCAACCAAACCTACCAAATGGTAAATAAGTGGCAAGTATATGTGCTGCCCTGGTCCTTCCCTGCCTAGGAAACCCATTTCCTTCTCAATTAGATGTGCATTGCTTTAAGTAGAAAGCAGATGCGTTATACAGAGAACATTTCCCAAAACATGTCCACAGCCTCTCCCTAGTGAATTCACATGCACAATAGCACACTAAAGTCTCTGACAAGTCCTGCAAAGCCAAGACTCCAGTTCCAGTTTATTTACGAAAATTTCTCTCAGATTTATTTGACCTCTTAGTTTGCACAATATTGTTTTTCTTAATTTTTTACCTAATGCCTCCTCACATCCTAGGGAACAACCTCTATTAATATCGTCAGGTGTCCGCTTCAGAAGATGCTGAAATCAGCTGCTACCACTGCAGTTCTTGCTGGTTTTCCACTATTTATGGGAACTGGATACAGGCAGTGTCTTTTGTAAATTTTATTTATTTATTTTTATTATTATTTTTTTTATACTCACCCAAGGACATTTTTCCATTTTTTGTTCAGGTAGAGTGGGAGGGAGAGAGAGAGAAACATCGACGTGAAAGGGACACATCGAGTGGCTGCCACCCGCACAACCAACCAGGGTTGGGGATAAACTGCAACTGAGGTAGGTACGTGCCCTTAGCAGGAACCGAACCCGGGTCTCTCGGGACCACAGACTGATGCTCTAACTGCTGAGCCAAACTGGCCAGGGCTATTTTTTATTTTTTATCCTCATCCGAGGACATATTTGCATTTATCTTCAGATAGAGCGGAAAGAGAGAAGGAGGAAGAGAGAGAAACATGGACATGAGAGAGACACATCAAGTGGCTGCCACCCACACGACCCCAACCAGGGCCAGGGATAAACTGCTTAGCAGGAACCAATCCTGGGTTTCTCTGGACCGTGGGCTGACGCTCTAACCGCTGAGCCAAACCGGCCAGGGCACAGGCAGTGTCTTGAGATCCATAGTGATAACAGATGGAAAGCAAGGGCATGAATTGTCAAACAATATACAAATTCTTTCTTTTTGCATTCAGAAAATATGTGGTATTGCCTTCCCTCCAGCATGTGCCACTAACCCATATTCCATTAAGTGACTGTCTCTGCATTCAAGGAGTTTATAATCTAGTGGGTAGGAAGGGAATTAAAACCAGAATCCAAGCAGGTACAGGTAAAGGAAAACAAGGGTGTTGTGCGAGGCAGAGCAAGGGAGAGGGGAGAGCAGTTCAGAGAAGCCTGGAAACCCTTCTGGACGGAAAACTTTCTGGTGCCGATACCAGTTTCTGCGGTGTCCCGGGTAATACGTGCTTACTTTGCCGCGTAATCTTCGCCCAAGCCCTGCGCAGTAGGTGCTGTCATCTCCTCCATTTCCCGAGTGAGAAAACAGAGGCTCAGAGAGGTTGTCACTCACTCCGGATTGTTCAGCAAATAACAGCATAGTCAAGATTCAAACTCAGCTCTGTTCGAAGCCCGCATTTCCCCCACGGGCCCGCACTGCCTTGCCATGACCAGAGAGAAGCAGAAAAGCTTAGCATGTTGTCGGAAGGCACAAAACTGCTCAGTTTGCCTGGAGCAAGAGGCCATTTGAACAAGTTCTCAGAACGGGGTCCCAAACCAAGGGCCTCCAAATCTCCTTGCAGCATTTATTAAAATGCTCCCCCTTCCAATCTACTTACTTGAATGCTGTGGTTGCACCCCTGGGATCTGAATCTTAGTGAGTATCCCAAGTGCTTCGTGCCCACACTGAAGTCTGAGAACCACTGATGGAGAGGAACCAGGGGAGATAAACCCACGAAGACGGGTGGGGGCCACGCTGTACAGGCCTGGGATGGCGTGGGGAGGAATCATTATTACAGTAGCTAGGAGGAGCAATTTGAGATTGTTGGGCAGGGAGAGTCCTTATCACAACTCTTTTCGGTAAATATTTGAGGTTTTATTGAATATTTTATTGTTATTAATTCATCATTTAATTCAGTTTGTGGTCAGAAAAATACTCTGTAATTTCAGTCCTTATAAACTATGGAGACTTGTTTTATGGTGCAGCATATGGCCTATCTCCATGTGTACTTGGACAGAGTGTGTATCTTGCCCGGCTGGTATGGGTCAGTGGTTGAGTGTTGACCCATGCACCAAGAGGTCACCGGTTCCATTCCTGGTCAGGGCACATGCCCAGGTTGTGTGCCCAATCACCAGTGGGGAGCATGCAGGAGGTGGCCAATTGATGTTCAATCTCATCAATGTTTCTCTCTCTCTCCCTCTCCCTTCTTCTCTCTCTAAAATCAATAAAGAAAAAAACATTTTTAAAGAAAAGAATGTGTGTCTTGCAGTTGTTTGGTGGAGTGAGCTGTAAATATCAATCAGATCAAGGTGGCTAGGAGTGTTATTCAGATCTCCTATGCATTTCCTGATTTGGGAGAAATCGATTGTTCTTGTCATTGCTGGGAGTATTACAACCTCCAGCTGTGACTGTGGAATTATCTATTTTCCCTTTAATTCTGTGCATATTTGAAACTCTATTATCAAACACAGACACATTCGTGATTATTATAGCCTCCTGATAAACTGGGGATAGTGGTGGTGGTCATAGTAGTAGGGATGGTTGTGGTATTGATGATGGTGGTTGTTGCTGGTGGTGGTGATGGTGGTGGTGGTGGTAGTTGTCATGGTAGTGGTGATGGTGGTGGTTATCAGGGTAGTGGTGATTGTGTTGGTAGTTTGTGGTTGTCATAGTAGCGGTGGTGGTGGTGGTGGTTGTCATGGTAGTGGTGGTGGTGGTGGTGGTGACGGTAGTAGTGGTGGTGGTGGCATTGGTATTGGTAATGGTGGCTGGTGGTTGGTGGTGGTGATAGCAGCAGCTAGTATTTTTGAGTGCTTGCTATGGACAGACACTATTCTAAGTGAGAGTTCATGGAACTTGGTGACTGACTGAATTGGGGGATAGAGCAGAAGGCGGGGCAGGGAGTGGAGCACCGCAGACTGACCCACCAGTTTCTGGCTCGGGAGCTGGTGGTACCTTCGCTAAGTGCGGTAAACCAGGCGGGAGTGAGGGCTCCACGCGGAGACTGCGTGTAAGAGGAGTCACTCTGGGTTCTCTGTCAAATTCAGCACCTTGGAGGAGAGCAGAGAGAATACGAGTTCTTTGGCCTGACCCCTGACACGGAGTTCCTTGGGACCATCACAACTGTTGTTCCGTCCTGGTCCAAAGAGAGTGCCCCCTACATGTGCCGTGTGAAGACACTGCCAGGTAAGTTTGGCTGAAGCTAGAGGGAGGTGGGACTCCTGAATCCCCATCTCTACTGTGTGCTTCCCTCCCTCCAACCAATGTGGCCTTGGCTACGCTCTGAAACACCCTGGAAAGGTTCTTCCTGTGTTATTAGAGTCAGTCCTGGCTCATCCATAAACGCGTTAGCTGATGGTTATCGTAACAGGTGCTTAATGTCCACCCCAGCCTGTGTCCGGATTTCCTCTCTCTGGCGGGTGTAGTGTGCACCCTGGCAAAGCAACTGCACCTTAATATTAACCCAGGTGAGAGATACTGGGAGATTATCTGCAGGCGGGGAGCAGAGAAGATAAAAAGATCCCTCAGTATTTTCCAGAGTCACGTAATATCAGCAGCAATGATAACTAGCATGTCTGCGTGCTAACCAGGGACCAGGCACTCCTAAGCGCAATCCTCATGAGCAACCTGCGAGGTGGGTGCTGTCACCATCGCGTTTCACAGATGGAAACAGGTTCAGGGTGGTTTGGTGCCGTGCCCGAGGTCACACAGGTGGTGAGGAATAGAACTGGCCTGACTCTGGGGACCTCATTCTCAGCCTCGGGCTACCACAGAGATAGTTCTGAGTTGGTGGCTTAGTGAGATGGTGCCCCACGCTCCCTTCCTCTGCACATCGAAACTCAACTCTCATCATAAGCACTGTGGTATTCTTATTAGCATTTTTATGTGGTATTTTATTTCATTTTCATTGGCAGATAGAAATGTGATGCTCAGAGCAGCAAGCTCAGAGGATGAAGGAGCTAGCAGTGGGTGGGATGGATTTGGAAAGCCAGGCTCCACCTCAGTCACCTCGTTCAGATGAATGATGTCAGTAGGTGATTTCTGTTCTAATGAACAGAGGTGAGGGGCTGCGAAGGTGGGCTCTGGGTTATAACCAGGGCTCGGAGGATCATCACCAGATAGGTTCCAGTCCTCAGTTTTGTTCGAAAACCTTACTCATCATTTGCCCTAAGAGCCCACATGAGACTGATTTTCCCACCATGGTGCATTAGTTCCCAGGGGAAGATCGCCTGGGGGAACAGCCAGCCCCGGGCTGTGCCCTTCCTGGGCACAGAGCCCCTGAGGAGACCAGACTAGCACTTGGCGAGAGGAAAACTAGAGGAAGGAAACCAGTGTTGCAGGCACTAAGCTGGGAGCACCTGGATGACCTGTGACCCCCTCCCCTGGACAAAACGAGGAAAATCTCACCCATTCCCTGCCGCCCCTGCCCCCTTGCTGTTGGACGACATGCAGACCACCTCATCCTGCTGCTGGCTTGCTCTTGCAGGATCCGGTCCTGCAAGGTGTGGTTCCATTTTTTTCCCCCTAAGACTGGAGCTGCTTTTATATAAATCACACTTCTTGTTGGCTATTTCCTGCTGGCATATAGAGGGCACCTTGTCCTCGAAAACAAAGTTTATTAATAATAATTCCTACCATTTAGTAAGTACTGTGTTAAGTGTTTGCCAAGCACTGTGTTAAGTGTTTTGCCTATATTATACCATTTAATCTTTATCACAATCCTGGAAGATGGGTAGCCTCATCCCCCTTTTACAGAGGAGGAACTCTGGCTCAGAGAGGTTGGGCAACTTGAAAGTGACCACACAGCTGGTCAGTAAACCTGGTTCGGTTCATCTGATCCTGAAGCTTGAGCTCTAACCACCCTTTTGCGATTTTGTTTACAGCTAATCGCCTCTGTTGCACATTTATTTCTCTCATTGCCATTTCAGAGTGATATGTCCTGTCCTTGACCCCGTGTCCTGGGGTCTGTCTTGTCCCCAGAGCCCAGAATCTCTACTTTATCTACCTCTCAGGGTCACAGAGAAACATCCCAGTATCCTGAAGTGGAGAGGACTCTAGAGGTCATTTCACCCCATATCCAGTTTTTACAGACGAGGAAACGTAGGCATCCTTATGCCGTGGCTATGAGGATGAGCTTTGGAGTCATACATGTCAATCCTGGCTTTTCTACTGAATGGCTGTGTGACCTCAGCCAAGTCACTTAACCTCTCTGAGACTCAGCTTCATTATCTGTAAGAAGAGAGCATCCCTGGCTCTCTACATAAGCAGAGCACCCCACACTGTGCATGGCATGTTTTAAGAATTCAATAATCACTGGCTACTGACCAGAGAGGGTTGTGCAACAGAGGAAAGGACACAGAGCTGAGACAGACATCTAATACCCCATACTAGTGTTATTCCTGTCATTTCTCCCTGCCTCCTCGTGGGTGAAAGAGCATATGGGAGTGTTCCATGTCCCTGTCCTATCCTGGTACAAGAAGCCGTGGTTTTCCATTAGACATGTCACGTAGAGACATTCGGGTCATGTCTTCTCCCTGGAGCCGTGCTGGGAGCATCACGTGACAGGGTATCATTGAAGTGGGAAGCTGCCCCAGAGAGGCCCGGGCAGCGGGCTGGGGGAGGAGCGAGGAGTGGGCTAGAAGCAGATGCTCCGGTTCACAGCGTTCATGGCGACTGCCAAGGTCACCGTCAGCTGCTGAGCAGCTAGCTCCTCAAGCCGAAGCCGCTCGGGGCCAGGAACAGGAGGGGGACTTGGAGAGTCAAGAGCCCTGGATAATGCAAATGGCCAGTTTTAACAAAAAAACTCCAATTGCTTCTTCCTTATCCAGCCCCTTACCAGTCCCTCCTGGGTTGGTGACAGAAGTGGGACATGCCAAGAGCCAGCTGTGCCCATCCCGGAGCTGGGAGACCACAGGAGAAGGCTTGGTGTCCATTTTCTTCTTTTAGAAAGAAAATGTGCCCCCAAACTGCATGCTGAGCCAGGTCTCCCCTGATACCCAGCCCTTCACCTGGGTAGGGAGGGGGGAAGGACAGGCCCCTCCCATTGTCCTTCCCACCCCTGCCAAGGAGCAGGGCTGTCCTCAGAGCCAGACAAGAGGGGCTGCTTTAGAAGGCCTGGGTCTGGCCTTGACCCTCCCACAAGATGAAGAGTCCTCAAGTCCCAGTGACCTGTCCCCCTGCAGCCTACGGCCATACCTTGGACCCCGAAGTCACCTGTAGAAATGCCCGAGCCTGTGTCCACTCTGGGCACATCTCTTCTCTGAGTCCTTCCTCCTGAGGGGAGACACTCTGCTGGTGTGCAGACCCTGGGCCCTAAGGATGGCCAATAGGTGGCTTTCTGTTGGGGGCAGGGATGAGCTTGGCAGTGTGGGCTGGGGTGCCCTTATGGGTGTGCGGGAGACAGGGCAGGTAGGCGGGGGCCTGTGGCAGGCTCTCCGCACCTCGAGCGGCAGCACAGACCCCAAGGAGTCCAAGAACTCATACTTCAAACCCGCCTTCCAGGTTCTTATGAGAAGTACACTTATCAAGGTGGGAGCATAGAACATATTTGCACAGCAGCGTGAAAACATGGTTTACAAATCCTGAAGATTTGATCGTGGGGGGCCTCTCTCTGCGCCCTTGCCCTGCCCTGCAGAACGGGGGTGGGGGGGGCGGGACCGGCTCCCCAGCCTGGCCAGGGCGGCAGGGATGGACCTAGCCGGGCGCCAGCCTCACCCTCCCTGCTCTGGCCTTGCTCACGCAGACCTGACCTGGACCTACGCCCTCTCCGGGGCCTTCCTGTTCGTCATGGGCTTTGTCATCGCAGTACTGTGCTACCTGAGCTACAGATACGTCACCAAGCCGCCTCGGCCTCCCAACTCCCTGGTGAGCAGCCCACCTGGGCCAGGAGGGCGAGGTCGGGGGGGCCCAGCAGCAGAGGGCAGAGGCCCAGGGACCCCTGGCTCTCCCTGAAATGCAGAAAACTAGGCCTCCGGTCTCCCCTCCGACCTAAACACGTGCCTTGGCGGGAGGCACAAAGAGGGCGGGCGATCAGGAAGACTTTCTCTCCGAAAATCCACGCAGCTTGCCCGAGGGAGCAGGCCCCTGCAGGGACGGGAGCATGGTGGGCCTGGTGGGTCCCCAAAGGGCAGCCAAGTGCTACCCGAGGATATGCAGGCCCAGGGCGGCCGGATCTTCACATAGTTTTTCAAGAGAGGTCAGAATTTCAGATTATAATGTGAAATCTCTCAATTTTCAAACGTTGACAACTCATTCTCAAAACGTGAAGCCCTCTGTAAGCCACACCAGTCCCGCCACAGCCCCGGTCTGGCCGCGTCTGCCACAGGCCATCTGCGGCCGAATCCCCGCTGCCCGCCCGCGGGGTGGCCCTCACCATCCGAGAGCTTCCAGGCCAGCTGCTCAATGGCGCAGCCCTGACGAGCCGTCTCCTGTAAACCCTCCTGGCCTCCCTTACCGCCACCTTCCCCACCTTGCCCTACATCAGTCCTTAGGGACCCACGAGCACAGAGCAGTGTGGGCCACCATCTCCAGAGCGCACCCCAAGGCCACCCCAAATCGAAGTTATCTGTTTCCTGGATTAGCAGCCTCCTGGAGAACCCGCAGCTGAAATTTCTCTTCCTGAGCTAACCCAGACCTCAGGAGTGGCCCTCAGCCACAGGGCTGGCCGCCCTGTCCCTTCACGACAGCCCCGGCACTTAGGGGAATCTCTGGGGGGTGAAGGGATGTGTGGATGCACATCTGGAAAGGCACCCGGTGGCCCAGCCCATAGCCTCTGCCTCCCCATGGAGGACCTTCCAGGGGCTCAGAATGGACCTAACGATGGGTTGTTTTGTCCCCTGTGCAGAATATCCAGCGCGTACTGACCTTCCAGCCGCTGCAGCTCATCCAGGAGCACGTCCTGATCCCCGTCCTTGACCTCAGCAGCCGCAGCAGCCTGGCCCAGCCTGTTCAGTACTCCCAAGTCATGGTCCCTGTGCCCTGGGAGCCCCCGGGAGCCCCACCGCGGCGCAGCCTGCCTGAGACCACCTACCTCGGGCAGCCGGACATCTCCGTCCTCCAGCCCTCCAGAGTGCCGCCCCACCAGCTCCTCTCCCCGCTGTCCTGTGCTCCCCGGGCTGCCCCCGAGGCCAGGCCCTCATCCTACACACCGCAAGTCACCCCCGAAGCTCAAGCCCCGCCCTATACCCCACAGGCCATCTCCTCCTACACCCCTCAGGCCACTCTGGACAGCTGCCCTCCTTCCTACGGAGTGTGCATGGAAGTTTCTGGCAAAAACTCCCCATCTGGGACACTCTCTAGTCCCAAAGACCCCAGGACTAAGGGTCAGCTTCAGAAAGAGCCACCAGCTGGAAGTGGCATCGCAGGTGACCTCTCTCTGCAGGGGGTGGCCTCCGCAGCAAAATCCTTCCACCAGCATCTGTGTGTCGGCGTGGACAGAGCCCCTGACACTAGTATGCTGCACAAAGAGGAGCCAGGGACCCCGGGATACCTGAAGGGCCAGCTGCCCCTCCTCTCCTCTGTGCAGATCGAGGGCCACCCCGTGTCCCTCCCCCTGCATACTCCTTCCCTGCCGTGTTCTCCCTTGGACCAGGTTTCAAGTCCCTGGGGCCTGCTGGAGTCCCTCGTGTATCCCAAGGACGAGGGTCCAGGGTCGGAGACTGAGGCCAAGAGCGCAGCCCCTCCGGCTTTCGACCTGGAGCCGCCTGCAGAGCTGGACTCTCTGTTCAGAGGCCTGGCCCTGACTGTGCAGTGGGAGCCCTGAGTGCACAGCAGGGCAAGCCTGGGCTTCCTCCTCATCCCCAACCCAGCCCCACATCCTCTGCCAACACTCCCAACCCAGCCGCGCCGTGCACACGGCCCAGCCTCGAGGGGGCCCTGGAGAGAGCCAGAGGAAGGGGGCCACTGGGCCTGCCATGGCTGGAGCGAAAGACGACGAGGACTCCAGGCACACATCTTGTGCAAGTGGGTGTGTGCTGATGAGTGTGGGTGCGCAGACCTCCGCAGGGCCAGACAGGACCCCCAGAGTGCGGGAGTTAATGCGGGGCAACTTCCCGGAGATCCAGGGTCCGGCTGCTAATGCGCGGGACACAAAGTTCTCCAGGAGCCTACCTTTCCTCACCCCATTCCTGGCCAGTTTCATGACCTAATCTGATGGACGGTGAGGTCTCTGCCTCCTCTGTGGTTCCCCCGGGGAGAAAGGGAGCCTGGAAAGGAAGTCTCATGGCAGGCCGGGCAGAACCAGAACAACCGGCGCTTCTGTCAAAACCAGAGGCAGCAGGGCGGCAAGACTCCAAGGAGGGGTGCGGCCTGGGGCTCACCCAGCAGGGCTGCTGCCTGCAGTTGCACCATTTCAACCTAATTCCTTTGCTACAGGCTGCACCCCAAGTGAGACACAGGTCCACCAGGGAGGGAGAGCACATGAGCCTTTTCTGTCGGCAGGAATTTGAGACCCTACCCTGAGATCGGAGCTCGAAAGGAACCTGGGGCCATGTGGCCCCTGAAGGAGACACAACAAACACTGCTGACTTCGTAACTTTGGAAATTCAGCCTTGGGTTCAGCCCGTCTGGATTAAAGTTCCAGCTTCCCTGTTTACCAGCTGCATGACTCCAGGCAAATGAATCACTGCTCCAAACCTCAGTTTCCTCATTTGTAAATGGGGGTGATTTACCTACCTCACAGGGTAGTGGTGAGGATGAAACTACATAATGTCTGTAAAGTGCCAATAGTGCAAATGGGCAGCGCCCAATAAATGGTAGCTATTTCCTGTGTGACTTGCTTTTTAATCGAACAGCACAGAGTGACCCCCCACCCCAGTTCAGGTTGGCTTCACACCAGGCATTTTCTCCACTTATCCTGATGTCCTCAGGGTTGCTCCAGGCTACACCAGAGGCGCTAGACCATCTGGCGGAGGAAGCAAGGGATGGGATTGCAGGGCCTTCTGGAAACAGGGCCCATAGACAAGTGGAACCTTCTCTCCGAGGTTGTAAGTGGAAGCTGCTTTGGGGGTGGTGCTGGCATTCTCAGAGGGTTAGGGTTAGGTTTAGGGCTAGATTAGGGTTAGGGTTAGGGTTAGGGTTAGGGCTAGATTAGGGTTAGGGTTTGCGTTAGGGCTAGATTAGGGTTAGGGTTAGGGTTAGGGTTAGGGTTAAGTTAGAATTAGGGCTAGGGTTAATTTAGGGTTA